TTCTCCGAAATTCGAATCTCCGGGTCCACATAAAATCCATTAATCGTCAATTTTTTGGCATTTTTCCATTGATTCAATTTTGAAATTTCTTCCAAATCCCAATATTCTTTTTCATCGGTTTTATTCCAAATTTCCAGGAGTTTTCGGATTTATTTTCGATAAAATTTTGGGAATTTGACAAGGATTCGATGTTTCAATTTCAAATTTTCCAAGTTCGAAATTTGAATTATTCTCATAATTTGCCGCCAAAATTTTTCGAATTCCATAGATGATTTTTAAGGGATTTCCAGCTAGATCCAGCTGGAATTTCTCCATTTTCAGCTTTTGATTCTTCCAGAAAATCTCGAAATCCTTCAAAAAAATATCCATATAATTCGAATTTGCCAAAATTCTTTTCTTTTGATCCCACTTCAACAAACTTGATCTATTTGGAAGCGTCTGATAAATTATCAATCTTTCCGAATTATCCAAAAATCGATAAGTCGATTTTATTGATTTTGGTTCTACAGTAATCCGAATGCTTTGTAATTTTGGATTCATTTTTCGGAAATTATCGATGAAAAATCGAATAGATTGGCAAACTTTTCGAAGGGAAATTCTGCAATTTTTTTTGGAATTTTGTCAAAAATTGAAAAAAAAACTTACAAATCGAAAAAATCCAAATCGGATAATATCTTTTCCATGACTAGTTCGGGCATGTTTTTTAGAGAATTTCTATTGGAATCCATTTCTTCGGTCTGAAAGAAACACATTTTTAGAAAAAAAAATTATGAAATTAAGAAATGAGAAAATTCAAAAATTCGGAAGATTGAAAATTTCACATTTTAAAAATTCAGAAATGCAGAAAATTCGAAATCTGGAAAAATCTTAAATTTTCAAGTTTCGAAAATTTTGAAAATTCTGAAATTTAAAGGGGGGGGACAGGAGATTTTACGGGGGATTTTTGGGGCCAGAGTATGCATTCCTACCGTCACGGTGTACAACGCTAAATGTCACTCTGCGTACAGCTGTCGTCCTCGCCTTTATGTATGCAATCGGGCAGCGGCTCTCTCTTTGCCCGCGTGGCTCAGTCGGTAGCGGCGCCGCACCTCCAACACTCGCCTCGACAAGTTCAACTCCTCGAGGGGCATATTTGAACGAAATTTCGACAACATTATTTTTCTCATGTCCCCCCACCTTAGAAAAAATCAAGAATTTGAAAATTAAGAAATTCGGGAATTCATGAGTTCCAGAAATTTAGAAACAGGAAAAAAAAAGTTTTTTGGAAATTCGAATCTTCAGAAATTCAAAAACTCAAAAATTCGAAAAATCGAAAATTATTAAAATTAGAAATTCAGAAATTCAATCATCCAAAACTCTGGAACTTCGGAACTCTGAAAACTAGAAAATTTTGAAAAAACCAGAATTTCAAAATTTCAGAACCTCAGAAAAGCAAATTATAAATCTGAAATCTTTATGAGTTTAAAAATTCAAAAATTCAAGAATCCAAAAATCTAAAAAAAAATCCGGAAATTTCAAAAAATTAATTTTTTTGATAAAAATACAATTTTTTTAATTTTGGAAAGTTATGANATTTAAAAGAAAAATTGGAAAAAATGTTTCGCAAATTTTTGTTTAGAATTTTATGTAAAAATAGAAAAAAATGGACGACAAATTTAAAATCAATGATATTGGTTTGAACAAATAGTGATAAAAAATTGATAACGAAAAAACTGGGCGAATTTCGATTTATTTACATTGTCTGTGAGAAAAACTGCTGACACATGCATTTATCTCTGCGTCTCTTCATTTTTTCTCGTTGTTCTCTTTTTTGTTCAGTAGAGCGCAATATCTCATACTGTCAATCAGTCAGGAAACAAGAAATTCAGAAATTCAGAAATTCAGAAAATCAGAAATTCAGAAATTCAGAAATTCAGAAATTCAGAAGTTCCGAATTTCAGAAGTTGTGAAAATCAGAAGTTCCGAAAATCAGAAAATCAGAAATTCAGAAGTTCAGAAATTCAGAAATTCAGAAAATGAGAAATTCAGAAATTCAGAAATTCAGAAATTCAGAAATTCAGAAATTTAGAAATTCAGAAATTCAGAAATTCAGAAATTCAGAAATTCAGAAATTCAGAAATTCAGAAATTTAGAAATTCGGAAATTCGGAAATTCAGAAAATGAGAAATTCAGAAAATGAGAAATTCAGAAATTCAGAAGTTCAGAAATTCAGAAATTTAGAAATTCAGAAATTCAGAAATTCGGAAATTCAGAAATTCAGAAATTCAGAAGTTCCGAAAATCAGAAAATCAGAAATTCAGAAGTTCAGAAATTCAGAAATTCAGAAATTCAGAAATTCAGAAATTTAGAAATTCAGAAATTCAGAAATTCAGAAATTCAGAAATTCAGAAATTCAGAAAATCAGAAATTCAGAAATTCAGAAATTCAGAAAATGAGAAATTCAGAAATTCAGAAGTTTAGAAATTCAGAAATTCAGAAATTTAGAAATTCAGAAATTCAGAAGTTCAGAAATTCAGAAATTTAGTTCAATAAAATTTTTATTTTCGGAAAAAGTTGAAAAAATACTCTAAACCAACTCTGAAGTCAAAACAAACTTAAAAAGAAATCAAAAAAGACATAAAAAAGATTTCGCTCCCGGGTGGGCTCGAACCACCAACCTTTCGGTTAACAGCCGAACGCGCTGCCTATTGCGCCACGGAAGCACAGGTCGCATTGAGCGAGGAGGGCGTACATAAGGCTGCCGTTGTGTGAGTGCCTTGTCGCTCCTTCTTATAGGTCTACGAAGTCGCGCCTCATTGTGTGCGTTAATGGCGTATTGGCAGCGCGCTGGGCTACCGATCTGGACACAGGTCCTGGGCGATGATGCGCATAAATGACCCGATCCATATGCGATCCTCTAGAAGTCCGTTCGACACATATCGCGAACAACGAGCTGCGATGAATCTCATATGTGTGCGATGCGGGGAGGCTGAATCGAGTGTTCCGAATGCGCGCGTATCCTAGATGGATGCTGGGTGGGTGGGCGATGTGTGCGATATGGGTCTGATACGGTAGGCAGACTACAACACTCCGAAATCCCGGATGCGCCCATTGTTTACCGTAAATCCACACCGGCAACTTTGTCAATTTTTCGTCAATTCGAGCCTACATTTCTGGTTTTTCGATTATTCCTTCGATGTTTTTTGTGAAAAAGAGTTATGGCAGACTAAAAAATCGCTGAATTCTTGCAGAAACATGTCTTTCACTCGTCAATTGCTATGTTTTTCTCCAAAATAGGTGATATTGAGATTTTTTGATTTCACTTTGTAATTATTGTAAAAATCGTATTTTCAGGTGGAATAAAAGGTAAGTTGGTAAGTATACAATAATTACAAAGTTTAAATTATAAAAATTTTCAATTTTTCATGCAATTTCAAAAAAAGTGAAAGTGAGACATATTTTTTGAAATGAAAACAAAACAATTTTTAGCGAATTTTTTCCCATTTTCTTCTGTTTTTGATTGCATATCAAATTTAAATGGAAACTGCCATAAGTCTTTTTCAAAACCAAAACATTGAGTTTCGAAAAATCAGTAATATGTCGTTCAAAATATAAAAAAATATGGAATAATAAAGGAAAAGTACGAAATCGGAAGACCTGAACAAAATCACATCCCAATAGAACTTAACTGATACTTCTAGGAACCCCCAACCAACGTTTTAGTTCATTTCATCGAGTGCCAGCAAGCCAGGCGAGGAGATGCTTTGCGGCGGCGGTGGCCCCATTTTGGGGTTCANCGAGGGGGCCCAANACCGCCCCCCCGCCNNCTCGGAGGCCAGAAGAAATTNAATAANTTTAAAGTGGACGCGGGTTTGATCTAGATCATGATCTATTTCTTCAAAATCAACTGTTGGCAAGGCGCGCTTTTTCGCTGTTCATTTAAAACTGTGAAACTCAGCCAACGAAATTCGGCAGCGAATTTAGAACTTTTCCTAAATTTNCTGGGGCGCACTTTTTGACCCCCTCGCTTGAACCCAAGTGTGTGCCCCATATGCCCCGTATATGCCCCATACCGGCGTCCTTTCCCTGTACCCAATTCATCGGCGCGTCCTCCGTCGCCCATCCATTATGCGTATGCGCGCCCATGACCTGTGGGAGGTCGCGGGCTCGACTCCACTTGGGGGCAAAAGGATTTCTTATTATTTTTGCTAATTTTTTCGGGTTTTTTCATCGAAAACTTTATTTACAACATTAATTCAAACATAAAATCAACAAAATGATCAAAGTTTTGGGCTCAAATGCTCCCAATAAGACCCAAAAATGGCAAGAACCAATCCAATAGCTACGTAGCGAGTGTAGATCATATATGGATTTCTTGGGACGAAAAGCGGTTCAATATCGAAAATTGGAACAGTCCAAGTGAGCGGAGGATCGCGAAAATAAAGATAAAATGTGAATAATTGAAGGGAAACGATCACAAGAAGCCAAATCTGAAAATTTTCTAATTAGAGCGAATTTGCACTTTTTTGACCTACCAGTATACTGAAATCTGGATATTGATTGAGGAGAACGAAATGCTCAAAAGTTTGAAGAATTTTCACCAATTGCAGCTCGAATGGAAGGCATTCAGTGGTAAGAAACCAGGAGACCTGGAGCTGTAAATTTGGGGAGAAAATCGAAAATTTCGGGTGAACAGAAAAATCAAAAAAAAATCAATAAAATTACCTGATCGAAAATCTCGTTGGCCAGAATGAAGGGCCAAATGACTTTTCTGGTATCATCTACAGTATACTTTGCAATTTTATAAATGATTTCCAAAATAATCAATTGTCGGAAAAAACGAGACTGAAAAAAAAGGAACATCTGGACATCCAGACACACAGACAGACTCACCCGATTCCGCTGCAATAATAAATAAACAACTGTGATAGATGAATAGGAGTAGAAAGTGAAAAATTGAAGAATATCGGGAGTTACTGCCGGTTGGGAAATCACAAAACTGGAAAAATAATCGATTTTTGACATTTTTGGACTATGGTGGCCTAGAAAAATCCACTTGCAAAAGTTAGGCCACCATCTTTGAATTTTTAGTGGGCATTGACTCATTTTTTTGGAGTGTATTCGAAATTGCGCTACATTTAAATCGCTTTTCAATCTCTTTCTTGAGCAATTTGAGTCATTTCGACCCGCGGCCGAGTTTTTGAGATTTCTAGGCCATCGACCCAAAAAAGGCACAGAAAAAAGTCGAGACGCTGAAATTGGGTAAATAGCTGAAGGAACGGATAATGCGTCAAGGCACGAAGAATGCGTCAAGGCCCGAAGAATGTGCCATGACCCGGAAAATGTGTCAATGCACGAAAAATGCGCAATGTCTCGAGAAATGCGTCAAGGCACTGAAAATGCATGTTTTCTTGCATTGGCCTATATTCAGTGCGTTGACGCCTTTCTAGTGCCCTTGTCTCATTTTAGTGTCTTGGCGCACTTCTAGTGTCTTGACGCATTTTCAGTGTATTGGCGCGTTTCCAGTGACTTGGCTCAAGTGTTGTTTACTTGCTTACTATTTGTTCGTTTGACGCAATTTTGATACCTTATAGTTAGCGCATTTTCAGTGTCTTGACGCATTTCTATTGCCTTGGCGTCTTTCTCGCTCACGTGCTTATTAATTGTCATCTTGACGCATTTTCAGTGTCTTGACGCGAATTCAGTGTTCTGACGCGATTGAAAGTAAGGCCCCCATTTTTTGAATTTTTGATGGGCTATTTTAAGTTTTCTTGAGCAATTTGAGTCATTTTTACCCGCGGCCGAGATTTTGAAATTTCTAGGCCACCAATTGGAATTACGTCGTTTTATCCGTTTTTTTTCTAGATTTTTCTGTCTAGAAATGTTCAATTTCCTTACTAAAACAATTTGCGCAACGCATAGAAAACATTATAGTCTTGCACATCCATCCGCCACATCCATCCGAAGGCAATCAACTGAAGCACTGGTTGTTCGATGGAGAAATCGTTGGTGGGATAGAGTTCCGAGGAAGAATCCGAGAATTCGCGAGACATTTCGTGAAGCGCGTCTATGTAGATATTCTGAAAAAAATCGATTATCGACTTTTTTTTTGAAAATTTGAAAAACCTGAAAATATCGTTGTTTCTTCATTTTTTCCAGATTCAAAAGCTCTTCTCGATACTCGGGATCTGAAATTATCGATTTTTCTGTGCGCCTGTGTGTCCGGATGTCCACAAACATGGAGAATAAGTGTAGTTTGTAGTCTTCACGGTTTCCAGGATGATAATATCGTAAAATTTCCATTTTAATGCTAAATTTTGAAGAATGAAATCTGAATTTTGCAAAAATTCCTTCTGAATTTTCAGTCCACAAAAGGAATATATCTCCAGAAGAAGTAGATCAATATTTTTAGCCAAACTTTGTAAGATGAAATCTGATTTTTTTGAAATTTCCTCATGAATGCTCAATCCACATTGAGAATTTGTCTCCAGAAGAAGTAGATCAAATTTTTGAAAATATAGATTATCTCGAAAATTTTCAAACGATCCAAATTCATCACACGATAGCTGTCGAATTTCGAATTGTGGAAAAATCTGAAATTTTTAAAAATTTCTAGGCCATCTGTGAAATTTTTTAGGCCACCTTGACGTAGTCCTTCGATTGAAAATCGACAATCCAAGGAGTCGATTTTTCGGAAAAATTCGAAAAATGTTCAGAATTTTCCAGAATGTCATCGGTTGCGTCGGCGATGAGGTTGAACTGGAAAATTATATATATATTTTTGAAATGTTTGAAAAAAATTGTGCGGATTACTGTAGAGAATGCGTTATCCATCAGGAAATCGGACACATTTTGAATAAAATTTGGATTTTTAAATCCAAATTTCGACGAATGGAACAAAAATCGAACATCGGTCCGATTGGGATCCGGAGTGCCAATTTCCTCCCAAATTTGCTGAAAAAAACGTCGATTATCGATTTTTTGCGGTAGAGCGCGATTGCAGTGCTAACCACGGTATGATTCTTTCCGATTCGATACTCTGGCTGACTGAATTCGTAGATTGAAGTGGTATTTGTTAGTGGTAGATTGTACAGAATGAGCAATGTGATTAGTAAAAGACGCATTTGTCTGAAAATTTGGGAAAAATCGTATGAAAATTGGCTAGAAATCAATAAAAAAATCACATTTTCTCGACAGAAAAAAAACATCGTCGGAGGTACTGTACTTGTTTAAAGGCATACGACTTAATTTGTTTATAGGTTTCGCAACGATTTTTTGCATTAATTTCAAGAAACTAGCATTTTTCAAAGATTTTCGCTCGAGAATCTCTGTCAAATTGCTGAAAATTGCAAAATATATCCAACAGAAAAATGACGCGAAATTTAAAAACTTTATTTTCAAAAGTGCATTTTCAAGTGAAGAAATACATTGATTTGAACATATGAGCAACAGCTAAGGTTGCAAGAAACGACATTGTCAAAATTTTCCGCTCAATTGCTTCCAATATAACCCAAAAATGACACAAGTCAATCCAATCGCCGCGTAACGTGTGTAGATCATATATCGATTTCTTGGGACCAGAATCGGTGCGATATCGAAAACTGGAACGGTCCAAGTGAATGGTGGAAACAAGAAAAATAGAGAAAATGAGAATAATTGAAGGGAAACGATCAGAAGAAGCCAAATCTGAAAACATCAGCGATAGAGCAAATTTGCACTTTTTTGACCTACCAATATGTAGAAATCTGGATATTGATTGAGGAGAAGGAAATGCTCAAAAGTTTGAAGAGTTTTCACGGTTTGCAGTTCGAATGTAAGGTACTCAGTGGTACGGTACTTGAAGACAGTGAACTGAAAATTTTGGTGAAAATCAATAGTTTCAGAAAAATCGATAAAATTACCAGATCGAAAATCTCGTTGGCTAGAATGAAGGGCCAAACGACTTTTCTGGTATCATCTACGATATATTTTGACAATTTATAAATTATCTCTAATACAATCAATTGTCGCCAGAAATATCTCTGAAAAATGGTGGAAGTATGGACATTTGGACACACAGACAGACTCACTTTATTCCGCAGAAATGATATATATTGGTATATGTGAAGCAAATTAAAGTAAAAAGTCACACATAGAAGCGCTTTGGGATCAATTGGATGTGCAAGTCTCGAAATTATAAAACTGAAAAAAAAAATCGATTTTTTGACTTTTTGAACTTTGGTGGCCTAGAAAAATCAACTCTGCAAAAGTTAGGCCACCTTAGATTTTGGTTCATATTTTCGGTATATATTCGAGATTAAGTTATAATTTAATGTCCTTTAAAGCCATTTAGAGCCATTTTTTACCCGTGGCCGAGTTTTTGGGATTTCTAGGCCACCAATTGAATTACGTTATTTTAAGCCATTTTTTGACCTGATTTCTTCGAATTTTCTCAATTTTTCCCCAAAAATGCTATAAAACTTCTTACTAGAACACATTTCGCAACGGATAGAAAATGTTAAAGCGGTGTGTTCTATTTCGCCGCTGTATCCATCGAAATGTAGGCAACATAACCACTGAGCAATCGACGATATCGTAGGAGATACCGTCTTCTGAGTCATAGATTTTCGAGAGAAAATCAGACCAATCTCGAGACATTTCGTGAAGTGCGTCTATGTAGGCGTTCTGTAAAAATCGCTTATCGATTTTTTTTCAAAAATTTGAAAAACCTGAAAATATCGTTGCCCCTTTATATTTTCAGATTTAAAAGCTCTTCTCGATACTCGGGATCTGAAATTATCGTGTTTTCTGTGTCTCTGTGTGTCTGGATGTCTACATACATGGAGAATAAGTGTAGTTTGTAGCCTCCACTGTTTCCAGGATGATAATATCGTAAAATTTCCATTTTAATGCTAAATTTTGTAGAATAAAATCCCATTTCCTTGAAATTCTCTTATGAATTTTCGATCCGCATTCAGAATATGTCTCCAGAAGAAGTAGATCAAATTTTTGAAAATATCGATTTTCTCGAAAATTTTCAAACGATCCAAATTCATCACACGATAGCTGTCGAATTTCGAATTGTGGAAAAATCTGAAATTTTTAAAAATTTCTAGGCCATCTATGGAGTTTTCTAGGCCACCTTGACGTAGTCCTTCGACTGAAAATCGACAATCCAAAGAGTCGGTTTTTGGGAAAAATTCGAAAAATATGGAGAATTTTCCAGAATGTCGTCGGTGGCGTCGGCGATGAGGTTGAACTGAAAAATTGTTTTTCTTTATTAATTTGAAAAAAAATTGTGCGGATTACTGTAGAAAATTCGTTATCCATCAGGAAATCGGACACATTTTGAATAAAATTTGGATTTTTAAATCCAAATTTCGACGAATGGAACAAAAATCGAACATCGGTCCGATTGGGATCCGGAGTGCCAATTTCCTCCCAAATTTGCTGAAAAAAACGTCGATTATCGATTTTTTGCGGTAGAGCGCGATTGCAGTGCTAACCACGGTATGATTCTTTCCGATTCGATACTCTGGCTGACTGAATTCGTAGATTGAAGTGGTATTTGTTAGTGGTAGATTGTACAGAATGAGCAATGTGATTAGTAAAAAACGCATTTGTTTGAAAATTTGGGAAAAATCGTATGAAAATTGGCTAGAAATCAATAAAAAATCACATTTTCTCGACAGAAAAAAAACATCGTCGGAGGTACTGTACTTGTTTAAAGGCATACGACTTAATTTGTTTATAGGTTTCGCAATGATTTTTTACATTAATTTCAAGAAACTAGCATTTTTCAAAGATTTTCGCTCGAAAATCTCTGTCAAACTGCTAAAAATTGCAAAATATATCCAACAGAAAAAATGACGCGAAATTTGAAAACTTTATTTTCAAAAGTACATTTTCAAATGAAATTTTACAGCACCCCGAAAGAGGATTTCGAGAGAAAATTTTCTGAAATTGACCAGCGGAGCGCGCTTGCACTTTTCTCTGCGTCTCTCATTTTTAACACACATCTCGTCGCTCAATTTCGCTTGCATTGAGTATTCGATTTATTTCTGTCGTTTTTCAGAAAAAAAAAACTGAGTTTTAGAAACTTTTTTATATCAAAACCTTTTGAAAAGGGTTTAATATGTAGTTTATCAGCATAAGGAATAATTATTTCAACATTGAAACACTTATGGAATGTTAGCGACTCTCCGACGGAAAATTGGCGAGATGTGAACGTTATGTCCCTTCAAAGTAAGTTTCTGGATTAAATTACTTGTTATTAGTACCATAAAGATGGAAAATGTTAAAATGAGTAGTTATTATTGAGCACTAGTCAAGGAAAATTAGTTCATATATTGAAAATCAACTGCAAAACACAATTTTCAAACAAATCTCGGTAAAAAAAACTATAGGATGAATAATAGATTTCGCAGATGATCCAGAACTAATAAAATTTCAAAAAATTGTTGAAATTTTTATATATTTCATATTTTTGCTCTAGTGAACTTCCTGGCATATTAATGTGTATGAAACGTGTTGTTTTTTTAGCTGGTGTTCATTTTTGTTGGTTTTTAAGCTAATTTCTTATCTTATTATCGAATTTTATGCTAAATTTGTGTTATTTATACAAAAAAAATCGAAAAAAACTTCCACTCGAGTGTCTTGATTTTTATAAAAATTGTATTAACTCCTCAGAAAACATCGATGTTGTGAAAAATTTTGCATTTATATATGCTTAAAAACATCCTCTACAAAAGTTAGGTCCGTCCAATACACGAAAATGCTTCCAGTCCCCGTAATGTTTGCTCAAAGTGCAAAAATTCGATTTTTTTTTTAATGAGGTGACAAGAGAGTGTGTAAACAATGAGAGGCGCAGAGAAAATGCAAGCGCGCTCCGATTGACAAATTCAAAAAAAAATTTTCTCGAAATCCTCTTTCGGGGTGCTGTGTATTACGAAAATTGGCCTTGATATGTTAAAAAATCAATATTTCCAGATTGAAAAATGAATGTCATTGTTGTTAAACCATCATCAGTGTACGCTTTGGACAAATTAATGACGGGGCTAAGGTAGTTGGGGGGGGCCACTTTTTTTTCGTTTTTTGAGGCTAATTTAGTGTCTCTGGGGTAGAAAAGAGCGGCGAAGAAGCCTAAGCCTATTTTTTAGACAAATTCCCATCTAAAAACACAAAAAAAAATCTTCTAAAAAATTTTTTTTACCGGTTTTTCGTATTTTTTACCGATTTTTCGCTCATTTCTCGGAAGTTTTTGTTTTCTGGGATCCACGTTTGTTCAAAATTCCTTTTTAAAGTCTGAAAATGGAATTTTAAAATCATTCTTCGTCCTCGAGAACTACAAAATTTCTTGCTCACTCTAAATTTAGATTACTGTAGCTCGAAAATGCTAGCTGTTTTTAGCTGTTTTTGCTGTTATTCGCTGTTATTAGCTAGTATTCTAATATTCGCTATGACTGCCGTTGCGGCTATATTAGACTTAAAGTCTTTTAACCTAATCAAAACCTGGCCGGAGCTAGCCAACAAAACCGACGACGAATTCGATGAGTATCTCGCTGAAAGAGGCTTGCTCTGGAGAGAAAATCCATGTCCGTCTTGTCACGAGTCGAGAAAAATCTCTAAGCAAAAGAATGCCTCTGGTTAGTAGATTAAAAGTATTTATTTCATGCGAATTAATTGTTTATAGGAGCGTTTTGCAAGCAGAAATTTGAGTGTTACAAACGAGCATGTCGAAATTCACGTTTCAACTGCAAAACTGGATATTTGAAGGGAACTTTCTTTGAGGGATTACGTGGAAGCCGTAAAAAGATTTTTCTGTGTAGCTTCCTCTATTTGAATGGAAAGATGGTGATGAAAGAGTTGGCAGAAACTTTGGAAACTGAGGAAAAGACAGTAATTCAGTGGTGCCAATGGTTCAGGGATATCATGGCGGAGAGTTTATATCAGCCCGCAATTATGATCGGAGGTGTTGAAGAGACGGTTCAGATCGATGAAACAAACATTGTCAAGAGAAAGTATAATGTGGGAAGGATCGTTCGTAATGGATGGTTAATAGGCGGTATCCAGAATAACACTCGTGCCGTTTTTATCGAAATCGTCGATAAAAGAGATCAAGCAACGTGTGAAAGAATCATTCAACAATATGTTGCTCTAGGCACAACAGTCATCACTGACTGTTGGCGAGGATACAACGGACTCGCGGCGCTAGGTTATGATCATAAAACAGTGAACCATTCTCAAAATTTTGTGGACCCTGCCACTGGTCTCCATACGCAGAGAGTTGAGTCGCTTTGGAGCCATTTGAAGCGTAGAATCAAGCCAAAGTGCGCCTTAAAGGAGATTTATGGGATGATCACTGGTTTGAAGCTTTATGGCACTTCAAGCACCACGAAGAGGCGAAGCTCTACGAGCTTTGGGCTGAGATCGCTAGAAGATATCCACTCACTTAAAATTCTTCGATGGTTCCGAAAATTGTTGTTGTTTTTAATGTCATTAATCAATAAATGTTAAGAAAAAGTTTTTTTTGAATTTGGCGCCAAAATGCGTGTGTCCCAGAGGAAGGGAAACAAGGGGTTTTTGCCTAAGCCTATTATTTAAAACAAAAAACAAAAAGTTTTGAAAAAAATTTTTGGCCAAAAATTTGCAAATTTCACTGATTTTCGCCGATTTCAACACTTTTTTGGCTGAAATTTTTTTCAAAACTTTTTGTTTTTTGTTTTAAATAATAGGC